TTCCGTGATTGGATTGAATTGTAACTTTTTTGGTTTTTTTTTTTTTCAGATCGGATTCAACTTTTCCAATTGCTTTAATTGAACGTATCAATTCTGATTTTTCCTCTCTACAATTAGAACATGAAAGTGAATCTCAAAAATGGATAATGACTAGCTTAAGTATAAAAGGTTCTCAGTTCTTCGATTTATCCTTTAATCGCAAAAATGTTAGTAAAAATTGATATCTAATCCAAAAAAGTGATATTTTCAATTTTCATTCAAATTTATATCGAAATAATCATGAATTATTGTTCTGGAGGAGATATGAAAGCGAATGTTTTAAGTTCAGATTTAATTACAAATCAATTTTCCATTAAATGGATTTATTGATTAGATAATATCACAGACTGTTTATGTTTGTGCAAAAATTTAAAATACTAAAGAAAAGCAGATGAGTGATACTTAGTTATCTTTAACCGTAGTTATTTCAAGTGAAGCTAATTGTTATTCGTTCTTGCAAAAGTACAATATCAATTTAATTTTCAGATAAAAATAATTTGAAAGTTAACCTCTATAGTGATTTTGCGAAAGGTTAGTAATTCAAGGCAATATTTTTGTTAAAATTAATTTCTATCTTGCACATTACGCAGAATACGTACGTGAAACAGATAGTTACGTGACACTAGATTTTCGGTTACGTTTTGTAAAATGAAAATGTAACTAGCGCTGTAAAAACCAGTTAATCATGGTAATATAAATACAGAATTTGTTTTCTTCGAAGGAATTTAAGAATTGATTTTAATTCACCTCAATCTGAAAACATCTTCATACATTACTTTATTGAAAAAAATAAAGTTGAATTTAAGGGCATTTTGCTAATTTGGAAAAGATAACTTCTGATTATGCGAAATTGTACAGTGAAGTAGTGGTCATCAGTGGGCCAATTTATGATTTTGATAATGAATTTTTTGCTAATTCATCGAAGACAGCATCTGAATTGCGCTTACAACGGTTATTGTGTTTTTTTCACAATAAATTTTTTTTTAATTCTTAGAAACTAATGTTGGAAAAATTTATCTTTACACTTTTTTGATGTATCAAAATTTAAAGTAATTAATACTGGGAACGAATTCTTACATTATACTGTGCAAAAAAAAAAAATTAATATCTCTTTTTAATGACACTTTGTGGATGTAAAGTAATTGTTTGATTGTTAATTTTAATTTTAAATTTATTCAAATCTATCAATTTATTATAAATTTTCTCATAAAATAGAATTTTTTTTTAAAAGAAAAAGCAAACCAAAGAGTATTTCATTTCATCAAATTCGTCAACATTGTTGAATTGAAAATAACCTGTCATGTTTACTTTTCATAATAAATCAAACTTTCAAACGATCAATTTGCATGATATGATTGTTAGATATTTTAATTGCTTGTATCAATTAATTTTTTCTTCTAATTTTTAGAATATTCAAAAAATTTTATGAATTTTTTTTTTAGTAATACAACACCAAGTCATATTTTTCGTGTAATATTTCGATGTAAAAACTCACAATGGTTGGAGGATGAATTTCAATGCGAGAATGCTAAATCATTGGATGCGCTATCATTCATTTTACCAAATGTACCAGATGATTACAATTGTTTGGTAAGTCATCTGCAACTCTCTTTGATTGCAAATTAAAAGACAAAAAATTCTATAATTTAGGCCTTTTGTAATTGCTTTCGGCAAAGTAATTTAAAAAAAAAAAAACAAATTATTGATTTACATAAAAAATTGAGCTAAAAGAAAGCCAACAAAATTAACTTTCATGCTGTTTAGACAATTTTTTTACTGAGATTTGATTGAATAAGTCAGTTTCAGATTACAGAATTACTAGCATTTTAAGTGACAGTAAACTCAAGAATATCTTTGCCTTCTTCATTCATTGCTTAAAATTTTTGCATAAAATTTCATTTCTTTTCTTTTACATATTTTATAATCAAAAAATTTCATCCGTTTTTTTGCAGGATTCATTGTCTTATTTAGCAGAAAATACAGTCAGGCTACGTGATATTGAATTGCTGACTGGATTGGAATTTCTTCCGACTTCATGGATCCCAGAAGTTGAGCTTTATGACGATGAATTCTCAATAACCTTGCGAACAATGTTGCCAGAAGATTTATGGTTGGAAGAAGAATTTAAACGATAGAAATACCATAAATTATTGTGTGCACATAATCCTTCAAGTTTCAGTAAGGCCCATAATATTTTCCAACATTTTACTTTTTTAATTTAGAAATTACAAAATAATAGCATAGTCGATAATAGTGTTGTCATTTCAAGTAAAAAGACAAAACCCCTGCATATCGTATTTCAAAATCACTATCATTATCACATCATCTAATTACTTTGAAAAAACTAACCTGACTAGGTGATGAAAAAAGAAATTTATGTGAAGTGAACTGATCCCGCAAAATTAATTTAAATTAAATGTAATTGAGCTTAAAATTCTGTTCTGGTTGTTCACATCATTAGTACTTTGCTATATTGCAAGAACTGTTTAATGAACCGAAAATTATTGAAATTAAAAGAAATCATCTCGAATTCGATAAAGAGACTTTCCTGTTAATTGAAAGAATTATTCAATAAACCTACAGGGTTTTACGACTAAGTCAATCGAAATTGAATCAGTCTGAATGTTGAATGAGTTAGCTTCAATCCATTATGAGCGACTCTTGACCTAATCAGATGCAAATATCATTCAGTTAGAAATGCTTTTAGTAAAAGAAAGACAAGCAGTAAAGTTTTGAATGTTAATCTGCCGCTGAAATTTCGGCATTCTATAATGATAGAATTGAATTTTTTTTATCAGATTAATTTCATATTGCTACAAAAAATGTGATTGTGATTGATGTTTGAAATATCGTCTAAATAATCCGTATACTAAAGGAATGAAAACGAAATTGTATAAAAAATTGAATGATACTTTAATTAGATTAAAGGTATCTAATGTAATGAAATATATGCTAAACACTTGTAGTAAAACATGCAAAAACATATTAAGGAGAGGTTTTTTATTGAACTGTATATAATGAATTGAATTTCAGTTGGTATTCATTAAGGAATACAGTAAAAAAACTGAGTATAAAGAAGATTGAGCATTTTAACTATCTTAAACAAAAACATGCTAATTTTAACTTGTATGAATTGCAGTTGACAGGTATTTAAGTTGAGAAATCAATACGGAGAGCTTAATCAATTAGAAAGAGAACTTAACAGCATACTTCTTTCCTGGATTGACATTGATCTACTCGATTGAGTTATCTTCATAACGTATCGGTGATGGCGGCTGAATAAAAAATTATTAAAGTTACTAAAGAAATTGAATTATCAATTTCAAAAAATATGCGGAATATTGGAAATTACAAAGGCATGAAAGAAAAATGGCAAATAGTAGAAATATTAAGAAAAAAATATTAAGAATCCGTTGAGCAGTGTCTGGAATGACATTTTGTAGGTAAAAAACGAAAGAGTTGAGAAATTTGGCAAGCAGTTAAAATGTTTTAGGAAAAAGATCTGAAAACTCTGAAATTTGTTTCACGAAAATTTTTGGAGTATTAATGGAAAATTTCGGCATTTTTTCTAAGCATGTAATATAAGCATGTCTCTTGAGATTCACAAATTCTATGTAAAGCATGAAAATACATATACTGACAAAAATAAAGTGAATCAAATCTAGAAAGAGAGAAAAAAAGAGAAAAATTATTGATTTTGCTTATTTGGAAGTGCCTTAAATCAATTGCACGAATGCATTAATTTAATTCATAGTTATGTTAAAAAAATCAATTCGCAAAACATTCGAATTGAATTCTTACTTTTTTCAGGAACCGACAAATGGGAATTAGAAAAGTGTAACTATTGTTTATTGATTTGTTAAAGACAGTAAAATATATCCACAATTTATATATAATGATATGAAATTTGAGAAATTTCGTAGTTCTGAACGTTCCGTTTGTATTGCGAATCATTTGTAATATCAGAAATTATTTTTCTGAATATCGCAACCACTGATGTGTTATAATTTCGTCGACAGCTTCCCTTTCATCCGCGTCCACTTTCAGCATTTTCAACAGAAATTCTATTAAATAAAAAAATTTTGTACAAGCAATACTTAAATGGAGGAAGTAATTTAATTACTTTTTGAATAAATAGTCCATTCTTTATATTCATTTCGCTTTATATAAATTAGAATTCGGTAATTTGGCGAAGAACTGACTAAAAAATTGATATAAATGACTGAAATGATATTGAATTTCTTGAAAAATTTACGTAACTTCATCATTCAAAAAAGATTTATCGGCTTACCTGAAACATTTCCATATCTCGGGAAACGGAAAAAATATTCCTTGTGCTTTGTTTGATACCATTTATCGAACTTGCGATCGCCTCTCCTTTAATAAGATTTGGACGCAATACTTATCCAAGCTTATACATGAATTTATCCTAAATCGATCAGAGTATAGTCAGCTCTAAAATAATTAAACTTAACAACTCACTTTG